TGACCAACCTAGGTCACCTAGCTTAACAAATTGATATTGAACACTTTTAAGTTGGTTTTGGTTATCTCAACTACTTAGAAACCACACACTGCATGTGTTCATGATCTTTTAGTGATCTTGTAATTGTTACACCTTTGTATTTATAACAACAAGTTCACATAATTTCCAAAATGATTTTCTTTTTGTGTTTTTTTTTCATTAAAACTTAGTCTTCACTTTTCAGCAAATTTAAGCATCTAGTTCAATTAGGGTTGTAGCTATTAGTGCCACATCATCTGGCAAAAAGAGTCTTGGAAATCTTTAGACACCAATCTAGATACCTAGATGTTAGATTACGATATTGTTACATTGATATATATGAGAAAAAGAGAAGGATTAAAACACATCCTTGTTCCCTCCCTTCATCTATTTCAATCTCATTATGGCAAACTTTATTAAGCATGCACAAATCATCAATCACCAGATAATAATAATAGGATGATAGTGTTTGCAACAAGAACACATTTAATTGATTTAGATCAAAATTAAAATCAAACAAGTTCGACTTGTATTGAAAATTGTTTTTTTAAACTACATGCTAATTATTAGTTCAGTTTCCAAACAGAAGTGAATATTGTTAAAAAATTTAAAACAGGTGGTCTTTATACATGGGTTGCTCATACATTATGCCTTGGGACTGCCTAAAAGTGGTCACTATAGACAGGTGGTCTTTATACAGAGGTGATCATACATTATGCCTTGGGACTGCCTAAAAGTGGTCACTATAGACAGGTGGTTTTTATATAGAGGTGGTCTTTAACATAGATTTGACTATTTTCTTAACATTAACTCAATTACTTCAGCAAACACAAGTTTAGCCTTATTATGCTCCTACAATTATCTTTTGGATCACTTTTTTCATGGATTGGTTTTATTTATTCCCTTTTTCCATTCTTGAGGTGTTTTGTACAAGATTTGAAAAACATAAATAATGATTCAATTATATTTTTAAAACTACCATCAGGGCCAGGAGCTATGCCAATTTTGTTCAGGAGTTATTGCTTTACAAATATCCTCTTCTGTTATATCAAAAATAATCAAATACTGGTATGTAAAGTTACCTTCTTGTTGCCATTTCCTATCCCTGATTAAATATAATTTTCCCCATTATATCATTATTATAGTTTCTGATGAACTTAATATATGCCAGTAATGTTGTACACTACCGTACTTTTAATACCGGTACTCTTTTTCTCAGTTGTAGAATGTTTATCTTCAAAATATGATACAAGCATATCCGGTTATCAAGATTTAAATTCATTCAGAATAACTTGGCAATAGTAATACTGAAATTAATCTATCATTTTGAAACTATAAACCATTCATATAGAAAAAATGACTGGATTGGCAAGGCAGGCACTTATATACAATAAACGGTGAATAAGACTGTATGCATTTTAAGAAAGAGTTTACCTGGTGAAAAAAAATAAGAAAGTGGAAATTTGTTTGAAATGTTTTCTCTTTCCTCTACTTTTGTCTCTTCAATATACTTATTTATATTCAAAGTACCGCATTATATGTATATGCTTTCTCTGTTGGTAGTACAATTTAGTGCATTAAAATTCGTTTTTCTTCAAAAGATACCGTATGACAATTTTTAATATTTCTAACTCAATTAAGTTCACAAAAATTTACCCGAAATCCTAGATTCCAGTCTTTCAAAATTCAGGGACACAATTTACAAACACGATGTGTTCCCTAATGTGTTATTGTCACCAAGACGTGCAGAATCACACACACATATTACTACCGGAAGTGGGGGCAGGAGATAAAGTTGGAGTGGAAAAGAATCGCGATAGGTGGACCGTGGAAATATTATCCGTCTGCGGCAATTGGCGATAGTATAAAACAATGACATTGAAATGACAGACAAACATCGCATCACCGAGTTATAATAAAAATACTTTAACTAATCCTTTGAATCTATGCGTGTCGTGATGGAATCGCAGTGTCAGGCTGTACTAGCCTGTAATGGCAGGCTACATAACTTCGGTTGTCTAAGAAATTCCTCCAGTCCATATTGAAAACGTTTGGTGAACACGAGTTTATTTTGGTCCCTATTCAAACCCACTCACCTGACAAAACCTACTTTTTCAAAGGACAATGAAAACGACACCTATTATACTTCAAACTACTGACTGCTCCATATTTGGCGTTGGGAAATAACGAATTCAACGGAAACCAAAGGTCAATACCCAGAAACACAATAGGCGTAGATGTCAGATATTTGCATGGTATAACTGACGTTTCACTACGTAATGAAATTCTAATTTTAGTATAATTTATGCTGACGTAATGGTTATTTCGAACACGGGGATGGGGGTAAGATCGATGATTTAGTGTGAAGCGTTTTGGTACTATATTTTGAAAATTAAAAAAACAGAAGGTATTAATAGTGAAATTGTGCCTATTTTAAAGTGGTGAGCTTGTATTAGAAAATTTGTTAATAGTTTTTGGCTGAAGAATATTATTTAATCTGGGTTGCACACCTCATTAGATCCTATCTCATAAAATGGTTTGATCCAGGCTTTCCCGCCAGAACTAATGTATGCTGACGTAATGAAGAAATTTCAGCATCCTATCCCAGTGTGCAACTCGCTATTTGGGTTATTGCCTAGACAACGGGTCACGAGGGCTCATCAATACCACCCACGTGATAAAACTACGTCATCAACAG